TGGATCGTCTCAAGCTGCTCTACGACGGCCATACCGACGATCCGCTCGAGATCCAGTACGCGGATCCGCTGCCATTAGCCGACTTTTTCGGCGCCATCGACGAGCACTTTCATGTAGTAGCGCTTCTTGACGCGTGGGTGTGACAAGGGATTGTAGCTGCGGAAAGCCGTGGCCGAGCTCAAGGCCGACATCAACGACCGCGCGCACGAGTTTCGCGTGATCCAGAAGCGCCTACTCGTGCGGTACAAGGACCGCAACCCGGCGCCGCTGAGTGCGCTCGACGTACTCATGCATGGAACGTACGCGCAGTTGCTGGATCTGGCAACGCAGGTATATTTCCATGTTCAAGCGTCTCGGTGATGAACGATGGTAGATGGAGCAAGCGCAGCGCAAGCTTGCAGCGGCCTCGAACCGCCTCTCGTGCAGCGTGAGCTTGCTGCTCATGCTCATGCGCTACAAATTCAACCTGGACGACGCCAACTTTAACGTGCTTGCGGCGCACTTGTCGCCGATCGTGGCCGACGCCGACGTGGGTTGGGAAGACGTGACCGAGGCTGCGATCACAGAGCTGCTCAAGTCGGCAAAGGCGCCGGCGAGAGAGATGACAGCGCCCGAGATAGCGCTGCAGCAGGACACGAAGAAGCTCAAGAAACACATTACGATCGTGTGCGACCGGCTCGGAAAAGGAGCGCTCTTTGTCGGCGAGGCCCGGCCACGGCGACCGCCATCGGACGACGACAACGGCAAGGACGACAACGGCAAGGACGACAACGGCAAGGACGACGACGACGGCGGCAAGGAGTAGTTGCTTTGCATGTGCCAATGGAATGCAAAATGAGTGATCCTGTCCATTTGACAAGCAGCAAACAACATTGCACCTCGGCTGCGCCACAGACCATGGTACACTCAGCATCGCTTCGTATGGAATAATCGCATGAGGTCCTAGTAACCATAGAGTACATACACGCAAAAACCAACACATGCATTCAAGTTACGACAAGCCCTGGCACTACGTCCCAACGTCATCAGAGATCTGTGTCGGGGGCGGTGAACGTGATGCCAAAGTTCATTTCGAAGCGTTGTCTGCGGCTTGGGCTCATGGTGCTTTGTTGGTGCAGCTGCGCGTATGCGGCGCCCAAGCGAAAACCCCGAAGCAGCGTCGGTGTCGTCGGCACATCGGGCACGACATAGTCGGCCGGGATGTTAAAGACCTTGTCTGGGACGTCTGGACGAGGGCGTCTGGGACGAGGGCGGCTAGCTGGAGACTTCGAGAGGTTTCTAGTAGTCCTGCTAGCCGGCTTGGCGTCGGCATCACCAAAAGGCCGTAAACACGTCCTGGTGATGATGTGACCACGACACATGGATGATGATGTCGTGACACGCTGTCGGACGCCGACAAGGCGGTCCGCGACGCCAAGCTCACGCGCTTCGTGCGCGGTGCCCACACGTCGCCCGTGCTCACCTTCATGCGCTGGCGCCAGGGCAAGAGCCCGCGCATGGTCGCCCAGGGCCAAGGCCAGCTCTTTGAGGTGCAAAGGCTCGCGGACGACTGCAGCCTCTTTGCGCTCGCAACCTCGCGCTACCAGCGGCACGTGTGGCACAAGAGCCGATCGAGTAGAAAGAATGAAATCATATTGAGAGTGCGAGTTACTTGTCCTAAAACAACGACTTGGCGTACGCGTCAAGCATCTATCGACAACGTTGTTGTACGTCTCAGAGCAAGATACAATAATGCAATACCTCTTCGGTGGCAAACGCGAGGTTCAGGATGGACACCGAATGTGTAAGCACTCTGTGACGGAATGCCTCGCTCTGGTTGAGGCGCCAAGCTAGCGCGTTGGCTCGATCTTCGTACTCCACGCACGGGCTGCCATACCGATCGAAGAGCATCGCCTATCATGATGCTCAAGCACTCGCACTCGCAACTCGACTACCTCGATCTGTGCACACAGAGATGGGCTTGGCAGCGCACGCTGCAGCTCCTGGCGCACGATGTTGCGCACCGGGCACTCGGGCTGGGAATCGCAGCTGTCCTGCGACCACTCGGGAGACTCGGGCGGCGGCTAGGTTAGTTTAGCCCTCCCTTCGGTAGTATGGTATGTCGTTCGTTACCTTCGTCAAATGCTTGTAAAGCTGCAAGGCCCCGTCTTTGACCGCTTGTCCAAATGTCTCGTCCTTTGTGAGGCCAAGCACAAACTGGGGCAGATGTGAGGCGTAGAGCGCGTTAGTAGGGAACGTGATGTTCCCACTGATCATGAAATCGATCTTTTTGAGCAACCGCGCGGGCGCGCCGGGTTGCACCAGCTCTTGAAGGTCGTTCTTGTAGCGGTTGGCCACGGCGACGCCTTTCTCGAACTGCGAGACGACTTGACGCCGCTTTCGCGCGGCTTGGAGGGTGGCCGCCTTGACATTTTGCTCGAAGGCGCAGCTGAGAGCGTCCTCGTCCAGCATTGAAGAGCGCTCCATGGCCGCGAGGAGGTCGACCGTGAACCCCGAGGCTCTGACACGGGGTTTGTCAGACTGTGCCAGGACCAGCCGCGACTCTTGGTCGGTTTTCAGCTTCTTGGCACCTTCGGTACTCTGCCCCTGGCTTTGCTTCGTCTTGGTCGCTTTGCTTGACTTTTTGGACTAACACAATATAGTATGAGCAATGTGTGCGGCGTTGAGAATCGTTTCGTACACGCTCCTCCTTGATCCACTTGATGCGGTCCGGGATCGGTTGGCCAGCTGCGCCCTGTACGTGTACGTGCATAAAATCATGTTGTTGGTCAGCTTCAACGTACCTCGCCCAGTGCGACAGCTTTGTGAAAGTCCGCGGCCAACTTCTTGTTGAGCGCCGTTCCGGGTTTGCGGTACTCTTGGGACGTGTCGCTCCAGGCCACAATGTCCTTGTACCGAATCGCCGCGCTAGACAAGCCATGATCGATCATGCTTCGGTTGCAGTTGTGCACCAGTTGTTGGTCCCGTAAAAGTACACCCAGTGGTGTGTCTTCATCTTCGGCTTCAAGTGCTCCATTGAGGCGGCGTCGAGGTCCGCCGGGTCGCAGACGTTCCCCGGCCAATGGGGAAATGTGTCCATCCGGGCCCAAACGACCTCGCCGTAATGCCGCTTGACGGCGTCGCTCGACATGCTCGTCTCGATCGAGGCGTCCATCTGCTGCGACCGGAGCTGGCGATCGCCGCGGGGCTGTTGGGTTGCCATTGCAGAGCAAGATCAGGTGTGCACTGAAATTTTAGCTAGGAAGTGCAGTAGCCTCCATGAGTAGCCTCCATGAGTACCTTGGAGAACTTCGAGAAGGCCGGAAACCATCGGTATCTTGTCAGAGACGTCGCGCGAGAGCCAGCGTCTAGTGCCTCACCGCGGCCGGCATCCACTATACTACTATGTAGTATGGAATACCGGTAGACGCAAGTGACAGACACCTCGAAGACGTCGGCGTTGCTGCCAGGTTTGGTCCGCGCCAAGACCGTCATCGGCGCCTTTGACCAGCCAACAGGCTCGCGTCATTGTACATGTACATCTGTTGCAGACCGCGACGATTGCGTACGAGATCGCCTCGACGGTAGCGCTATCAACGCGACTTGGCTGCGTCGACGAGGCTGGAGCTTCTCGCGCGTGTCCTCGCCGGCCTCGCGCGTGTCCTCGCCGGCCTCGCGCATGTCCACGACCGCGGCTGTGTACATGTGATATGTGATGTGCAGTAGCCTCCATGAGTACCTTGGAGAACTTCGAGAAGGCCATCAGCAACCTTGGCCCAGCAGCGATTGCCAAGTCGAGGTTGAAGCTTGTTAAATGCGTGGGAACCAATCCCGTGCGAGAACTTTGTAGGATTTCAGCCAATCAGAATGGGTCTCTTTGCATTTCGACATTTGCCACACAAGCGCCTAGATGTCCGTCGCCATTAGCGTCTCTTCTATGCAGTGGCCGCCCGCCGAGGCTCTTGGCGCGGCCTCGCGCAATCTCTCTCTGAATAGTACTCCTTCGTATGACATGCACGCAGTCATTGACTCTATAGTCAGGCAACGAGGCGGGTTGGGCTGGTGTGACGTAGTAGTACGCATCTTCCTGCTTGATCCATCCTATACTCCTATAACTTCTAGTACGGCGACAGAGGATGCTGCATAGCAGCTACTCCTTGCCGCCGTCGTCGTCGTCCTTGCCGTTGTCGTCCTTGCCGTTGTCGTCCTTGCCGTTGTCGTCGTCCGATGGCGGTCGCCGTGGCCGGGCCTCGCCGACAAAGAGCGCTCCTTTTCCGAGCCGGTCGCACACGATCGTAATGTGTTTCTTGAGCTTCTTCGTGTCCTGCTGCAGCGCTATCTCGGGCGCTGTCATCTCTCTCGCCGGCGCCTTTGCCGACTTGAGCAGCTCTGTGATCGCAGCCTCGGTCACGTCTTCCCAACCCAAGTCGGCGTCGGCCACGATCGGCGACAAGTGCGCCGCAAGCACGTTAAAGTTGGCGTCGTCCAGGTTGAATTTGTAGCGCATGAGCATGAGCAGCAAGCTCACGCTGCACGAGAGGCGGTTTGAGGCCGCTGCAAGCTTGCGCTGCGCTTGCTCCATCTACCATCGTTCATCTCCGAGACGCTTGAACATGAAAATATACCTGCGTTGCCAGATCCAGCAACTGCGCGTACGTCCCATGCATGAGTACGTCGAGCGCACTCAGCGGCGCCGGGTTGCGGTCCTTGTACCGCACGAGTAGGCGCTTCTGGATCACGCGAAACTCGTGCGCGCGGTCGTTGATGTCGGCCTTGAGCTCGGCCACGGCTTTCCGCAGCTACAATCCCTTGTCACACCCACGCGTCAAGAAGCGCTACTACATGAAAGTGCTCGCCGAAAAAGTCGGCTAATGGCAGCGGATCCGCGTACTGGATCTCGAGCAGATCGTCGGTATCGTAGAGCAGCTTGAGACGGTCCACGAGCTCGTTCGACCATCCAGAGCGCGTCGAGCTCCGTCGACTGGATACGGTACCGCCCTAAAACACATTGCAAACGTGGCGTGCTAACTAGGAAACACATACCTGCGTTCTTGGAGACGAGGATCGTCACGTCGACGCCGTTGTAGTACTGGAAGCTGAGCACGTTGGCCGTCGAGCCCGTGACCTGCTTGGCCCACTCGGGCGTCGCGCCAGGTTGCGTGAGCATGTCCTGGAAGAGGTCCGTGAGCAGCGGCGGCGCTTGGTTCGTATCCAGCGTAAACTAGCCATCGATGCGTCATCCTCTATGAGCTATTGATATGGTGTACCTTGAACGTGCCTGCTTTCACAGGCGGCACGACGCGACACATCATGCACATGGGCAGCTTGACGATGCACATGGACGTCCGCGGCTGGCCGCTCTCGAGCGTATACGCCGCCGAGATGGTCACCTGCGACGACACCGAGTTGGACGAAATGCCACAGAAGAACGATATGTGTACCTCGAGCGACGACGGCATCGCGGTGCCGCTCGGTCGCAAGACCACGGGTACGATCAGCGGCGTCGATGTCTTGCCGTCGACCGAAGTCAAGACGACCGAGGATGCGGACACGACGACGACGTTGGTTGGCGCCGTGATGGCGAGCGTCACGTTCTGGATCACGTTGCTGCCCGTGTACGTGATGTACACGCGCATTGTGAGCGTCACGGGCTGCTGGTCGATGCCGTACACTGCGTCGGCGTCTAAGAAACCGGCCGCCTGAGTTCTACACGACGAGGACGACGGAGATGTGCCTTGGATGAAGCTCGAGTCGTCGTCGTCGTGCGCATCAAAGATCGCAGGGACTTGCGCGCGCAAGAGAATTCGCTCCTTGGGCTCGGACCGGCGCTCTGCACACAAGCCGAAATGCAGATTCGAGCGGAGAGGAGACACGACATACCGCCTTGGGAGCGCCGAATGATGTTGAGCAGCGTCCGATGCTCTTCGTCCATGATGGCGTGTACAGAGATATCCTCAGCACATGCTCGATACTAGTATGTTGCTAGTACTCATCGCTCGACTCCCCATTCCATTGAGCACCGCCTTGATGCGAGGTCGGTCGCTGATGGCTGGCTTAACGTTGGTCGAATGGCTGGTGCATTTCATGGAACCATTCTACCGCTCGCTCATGATCACTGCTTTTGCATGCTCGACCTTCCCAGGCTGCATCGACTCAGAAACGGCGCTACGAAGGACCTGACTAAAAGGTCATTTTGAATCAGATGCAGCTTCAAGCCTTCTCCTATGGTGCTATCTGGTTGGGCGAATTGTTCCAAGGCTATTACATGTAGTAGGGAATCCATGATCCTGCGCTACCAGAGCTCGCCAAGTGAGGGCTCTCTTGTGACGAAAGACGAGGGCGGACCGGTGTTGCTAGAGTACGGTACCGGTACACAGTGTGAGCCTGGTACACGTTCATGTTGCACGTTATTACCAATGCATCCGTCAATGCGTCCCATGCATTCGCACCGAATCCACCCTCGTTTCGTAACGCTCAAAGTGCGGACCGACGCCAGGACTGACGCGGCCAGCGAAATATCTGCGACTGTGCGGTATTGCAACGGGGTGCACTTCCCACCCACCGCTCCTATGAAGCATCGCGACCTTCCTGGATCGTCACGGAAGTCGGTTGGTTCTGAGCCCAGCAGTGAGCCCAACCACCGGCGACCGTTGCAGTGATATTGATTGATGATGGGAAGCTTCTGTGCACGCAATTTGTTTGGCTTCAAGCGCATTCCGACGCAAGCCACTATCGCTAGCCAATCAACGCGCGCCGTACCTGAATTTCAGCCAATGAGCGCGCGGACCATCACGCACATGTCGAAACGTCGTCTGATGCTCGTGGCGTTCGATTCTTTTACTGACCAATCGATGCGCGCTATTTCACCACTTGCACCAATCATATGATACTGAGCTGAATCCGCAACGTTCATTGGTGCAAATGGGCCAGCGTGTCGGCAGCGTCGTTGGGTACCTGTCGCATGCGGTTGGCGCTGAATGTTGATAGCCTCAACAATTTAATATGCAATGTCAAATTACATAATGTGTTTGTATACGATAAAATAAGAAAGCGAAGTGTCTCATGGAATCTGAAAATATCACCATCATTCTGCCAACCTGCGGAAATCGAATATCGTAACGCACACGTGTAAAACGTGTAAAGCGTGAAAATACGGAGTCCTGGCACGCTTCGGCGACCTCCAATGTCGTCGCTGCTGACGATACCAGCTAGATTGCTACATGCATGAAGGCTGACTCTAACAGCATAGTGCACGTTGAGACCACGGTGTAGTACGTCAATGATCAGATGCGTTGATGCCCTTGCAGCTGCGCTTCCTCGTCGTCATCACCAAGCTACTCTCTTTTTGTCGGCTTTCGTCGGCTTGTTGTTGACGACGTACTACTCTTGAAGGTCTGCTTGAAGGTCGCAGTTGGCACGTTGTACGGTAGTATCACACTATGCAGACCAGACGCGTGGACCTTTCTACACACGTCCTTCCAGTGCACGTCCAATCCAATACCATGGACCTACGAGAGACAACCCAGAGCTCTGCGTGAGTGTTCCAGGCAGCGCGAACGTCTACGCTGCTGCTGTGCTACTTGCTACAAGTACGGAGTGATTGCATGCAATCTTGGTCGATTGACGCGTCAACACGTACGTTCGTGACTCACGTGTGTGAAAAACGTGTTTTTCACCCACCCTCCCAAACCGGATTTGTTGATGGAAGGCAGCACTCGCAGCTTGCCAGCGCAAGTGGCCAGAACCGACTTTGACCGACTGAGCTCAGATGCATCCGAGCATGGTCTTCTTGGACTACTTCAACCGCGCGCCGTGGCACACGCGCCACGAAGGCCCAGCGCGCGACGGCCTCGGCCTGCACCACGCGCTCCTGCTCGGCACCGCCTTCCTCGTCGCCTACGTCGGCGTCCGCATCGCGCAGTGGCTCTGGCGGCCGCACGCATATGACTTTGACGACGAGCTGCCCAAATACTACTACGTTCAAGCACCAAGCGTCGACGCGAGCCCGTGGTCCGAGTACCTCTGGCCGTTGCTGTGGGTCGACCGCGTCTATTGGACCCGCGACGTGCGCCGCGCCAAGTACCGCCGCCGCCACAAGACGAGCAGCATTGCACTCGATACAATCCCCGAGGAGACCGAGAAGACGACCTTTGACGAATACACGGTGCTGCGCATGCCCAGCGCGCTCAAGCTTTCCTAAACGCCGCGCGATTGGAGCGCGATCCGACCTATTTAATACGAACCACTGATAAGTTAAGCGAATGCCTTTTGCGCATGTTTCCCTTGCGCCCCATTCCCAAGATACGAGCCCGTTGGTTGACCGACGCATCGAAGGCGTGGGCCGGCCGGGTCGACGTTGTTGGCCAGCGCATGCCCTCTGCTACCAACGACTAATGCACTACACTACGTGGGAACCGTACTATGGACTACGCTGCATGCGAGCACGCTCGACGCACGGTCAGTAATCGAAGCTGGAAGGAGAACAGCGCCAGCGTTGACTCGAGCCAGGACGTTGGTCCCTGAAGCTCGTGCACCGCTGCCCGCTTTGCGCACTCGGAGCCACTTGTCAGGTTCGTCGAGTGTGTCATTGCTTCGTATATGTACCTTGTCGTGATCAGAGCTCATTGCGGAAATAGGTTCCGACCGAAGCGGTATCATGCGCTCATGGCCTCACGAATTGCTGCTGCCAATTCAGCACACAACGCCAGAGCGGCTGAGAACGTCGCGCCATGGTGCTTTGGTACTTTGATCTCCATACACAGAGATGGTATATGGTCGCCTGGGTTGGAGACGATGGGCCATGGTACGAGTATGACGTTGTATTGGAAGCCGCTACGCTGCGTCGGCGGTATACAACGTTAGTATTCGACTTGAGACGCCCGGTCGCACGCCTTTCACAGAGGACGCACCATGCTTCGTGCTGTGTGAATCGCTCACGCGTTACCAGAGCCATCGGCTGTTCTGGGCGACAAGCACGGATTCTCCATCGCCTAAAGTACCTACGACAGCATTGCGCAGAATCGTTGTTGGAATACAAAGGCTTGTTGCAACGTCGAGTCGAGGCAGCGCGCCCTTCAAGTCTCTCGGTGGTGCTAAAACCGACAGAAACGCTCGCAGGCTGTCTTGTGTCGACGCTTACTAGTTTATGGCTTTTCTATTAGAAGGGCCCTTGGTTGGGCGATACAAAAGCGGCTACGGGATGGATCACAGGATAGATGTCAATGCCTGCAGCTCACTCCCAACGAATGCTGGCGCCAACTCCCGCGCATTCAGGCACCGTGCTACGTACGCAGCGTCTTGGAGGTCGCTTTTCCTCACTCGATCACGTTTGATGCGTATGCGGCAGGACGGGAATGACATAGAGCGTAACGCCAAAGCGACTGCGCTGGCAACCATCTCCTAACTGTGCCAACGGTCTTGGCTATCTTGGCTCGCTTAAACTGGCAAGTGCGCCACACAACACGTGGGCATCCATCTCGAGCGATCGCTCGTCGTCGTCGTACCGCACTCTCAGAGCTTACTATGGCTTGCAAAGCGGCGCACCATAAAACAGCGTGCATGACCAAGCAAGCCACAGCGTTCCATATTTGTGGGCCGGCTTCAAGCACGGGCTGCCACTCGTTTGCCCGTGTCTTCGTTGTCCTTCCCGCACGAATTTCAATTTCATTTTTTCCCGTAATGTATGCCACGAGCCTACCACTATCATTAAAATCAGGTGCATGTTTGGCTCAGCATTTACATTGTACGAAAATTCGAACCATGGATCTCACCTGGGAAGATACGGCGGGCGCGGATTGGTCCGCTTTGACCAATGAGAAGGGCGGAAGCCAGTTATCCGGCGTTTCCGATCAGCGTGACAAGGAGCGTGCGGCCATGGCGACCGTAGAGCAAGATTGGACAGGCAGCCCGAAGATCAGCGCAGCTGGTAGACGGTGTCAAGGACAAAGCTTGACGAGGACTTTGGTAGACGAGCAATCGACGGTGCGTCCGCGCAACGACATGGTCGAGGACTCATGGAGTGGTAGGCTGAAGGAAGAGAAGGAAGGATGACGACGAAGAACGGGCGCCAGGCGGCCATCGGTGCGATGGCCGGGCCCCGTTTCAAGAAGCGAGCGATGCTACCCTGGTTTACCGGGTGGTGCATCGTTCTTTGGTGGGTGACGTCGTGCGTGGGCGGCGTCGCAGCGCAAGGTGGTCTTGTGCAACCCGTCGGCGGGTACCCCGTTGGCGGCGACAACCCACGCAGCGAGGCCCGTGGCAGCGCAAGCGAAGACGCGGACTCGGGCGGCTCGAGCCTTCTTCGTGAAGCTCGTGCCCGCGCCCTTAGCGCGTACTCGGAGGCAGCGAACGACCCGTGCGCCGCCTTCAACACGCGCCCGGACGTGACCGAGCCGTACTGGACGCGGATGGCGTCATGTGCTGTGTGTGCTGCCATGCAAGGCTGCGGGTTCTGCCTCGCAACGCTCTTGTGTGAGCCCGGTGGTCCGGCCGGTCCGACGGCAGGCGTCTGCGACACGTGGCTTTCCGCGGCGGCGCAGTGCCCGACCGAACCCGACTGCACGGCGCATACCACATGCGGCGCGTGCGCGTCGTCGGATGGTGCGTGCGCGTGGTGCACAAAGACCAGCACATGCATGCCGACGGACGCGGTGTCGGATGCGACGTGCGGCAGTGTCGTGACCTCGCCACCGTGCCCGATCAAGGTCATCAAGGCCACAAACTTTGTGACGGGCGTGGTGACGATCTACGCCGACCCAGCGACCAACACGTCGGCCTCGTGGTCCAAGGACGTTCCTACAACGCTACGATCGGCGAGCGCGTACGTTGCATTTGGATTTCAGGATGCTGGATCTTATGTGCAAATGGGTAGGTCGCGTTGCACGCGGCGAGCGACGTAGCGGTGTCGGCCGGTGACACAAACACGGTCAACACGATGGGGCACAGCGTCTCTGTCAGCGCTGGCAGTGGATTGAGTGCCGATCGAGGCGCCGGCGGGTCGGTCTCGATCAATGCCGGCAGCGGTGCGGGTCAGGTCGCGCTGGGTGGCGCCGGCGCGGGCGGCAACGTCAGCGCTCATGCTGGCTCGTCGCTTCAAGGGGTCGGTGGCAGTATCAACCTCTCCGGAGGTACTGGCAATAGCTCTGGTGGCGCAATCCGACTGCTCTCGGGCCCAAGCGTTTCCGGTCCAACGGGCGCCATCTCGATCGCGACCGCCGACGGTCCAGGTGGAAAGGGCACTGGCAACATTACCATCCAAACGGGCGGCTCGACACTCGCGTCGGGCTCTATCGTGGTTGCGGCTGGCGCCGCGATCTTCCCGGGCTCGCTCGTGCTCGCCGGTGGCGCTGCCACGGCGGGTAACACGACGATACTTGCGCAACCCGGCGGCAATGTCGTTGTGACGAGCGGAGCTTCGGCGCTCTCGACCGGCGGTACGACTATCGTGACGACGGGCGACGGCAACTCGAGCAGTGGCGTCTTGCGACTGCAAACGGGTGGCAACAGCTCGACATCGGGCAACGTCATCCTTGGTTCCGGCGGCGCTACGCTGAAAAGCGGCGACGTCCGCATCGGTTCGGGTAGCGTCAAGGTGCGCGGCGCCGTCGCCGGCGCGGTACGCATCGGGTCCGGCAACGATATCAACGCCGCCATCAGTGCCAACATTACGGTGGTCGCGTCGTCCACGGTCGCGGGTCCGCAAGCAGGTAGCGTGCTTGTCAAGGGTGGCGACGCCGGTCAAAGCGCCGAGATGACCCTTGTCGATGGTGTCGCTGGCGCCGTGTCGATTGAAGGTGGTCGCACGGTGCGTTCAACTGCCGCTAGCCATGGCGGTGACGTGTCCGTGGCTGGTGGCGCTGCCGAAGCTGGCCAAGGCGGCAAACTCAAACTCATCTCTGGCTCCAGTCGGCTTGGCAGCAGCGGCGACACATTGGTGCTCTCGGGGCCGTCGGCCGCTGCATCGGGTTCGGTGCGTGTCGCGTCGGGCAACTCGGTCACGGGCGCGTCTGGCGCTGTTAGCATCAACACGGGCGACGCCGCCAACGCGGTAGCTGGACGTCTCGATCTTCGCCCGGGTGTGAGTGGCAACGGCGTCGGCGCAGATGTCAGCGTTGCTGCGGGCGCGAGTACGACAAACACGGGCGGGGCTGTGTCGCTCGCAAGTGGCCGCTCGTTGACGGGTACCTCGGGCGACGTGCGTATCTTGACGACAACGGCGCCAACGTCGGGCTCGCTCACGCTGTCGACTAGCAACGCCGTCGTCTCGTCGGGCGACGTCAAGATCGCAACGGGCGCGGCGGGGAAGAGTGGTACGGTCGGCGCGATTTCGTTGAAGTCTGGCGACGGACCTCAACCTCTTGTTTCAGTTTCGATCGCGTCGGGTGCAGCAAACACGCCTCAAGAAAAGGGTGGCGCCATGTCGCTCAAGGCAGGCGACGGGTCGTCAACAGACGGTGGCGTCGGTGGCGACATCGACATTTCAAGTGGCGCAGGACGTGGGTTGCACACGAGCCCGTCCGGCGTCGGCAATGGCGGCAAGTTGACGTTGAAGAGTGGCGCATCGACCGAAGGCGAGGGTGGCGTTTTGTCTATCGTGGGTGGCGCCTCGCAGCTGGCCACGGGCGGCACTGTCGCTCTTATGAGTGGCGCGTCGACGCAAGCAACAAGCGGCGATGTCCAAGTCCTCACGGCGCCTAGCGGTATTGCGGGCGGCAGCGGCAAGATTACGCTCCGGTCTGGCGCGGCGACGGGCGGCAATGCCGGCGACATTTCGCTCCAGTCGGGTAGCGCCACGAACGGACGAGCTGGCGCCATTAGTGTCCAAGGTGGCGCCGGTGATACCGGCGACGGCAGTAGTCTCTCGCTGGCGGCAGGCCCGACGTCGGCTCCAGCGTCAACCGGTGGTGTCGTCACGCTCCAAGGCGGCGACGGAACGAGCACCGACGGCGGCGACGGCGGCAACGGCGGGGCGGTTTACGTCTCTGGTGGTGCCAGTCTTGGCCAAGCGACCAAGAACATTGGCGGCGCGCTCTCACTCAGCGGTGGTGCGGCCGCTGCGGGCATTGGCGGCGACGTGTCGCTCATGTCGGGTGGTAGTCACGTGTACAGCTCGGGCTCTGTCACCATTGGCTCGGCATCGTCGGGTCCGCAAGGTTTCAGTGGCGACGTCAACATCAACACTGGCACGGCCGTGGCCGGTGCATCGGGCAGTATTCAGCTCTCGAGTGGTACTGGTCAAACCGGTAGCGGCGGGTCCATCGAACTCTTGGTCGGCGCGGGCAACATCAATGACGGCGGCTCGGTGACGGTCAAGGCAGGCGAGACGACGACGCAAGGTCGTGTTGGTGGCTCCATCGAGTTGATCGGTGGTACCGGCTCAAACCCGAGTACTATTGACGGTGGCGACGGTGGTGCCGTCAGCATCCAAGGCGGCCAATCAATGGGCCAAAACAGTGCCGACAACGGCGGTAACGTGGCTTTGACGGGCGGCAACGCCGTCGCGGGCTACGGTGGTTCGATCTCTCTCACGTCCGGCATCGGTCAAAGCTCGACAAGTGGCTCCATCCTAATACAAACGGCCAACGCGGGCACAAGTGGCGTGAGCGGCCTTCTTTCGATTGCAACCGGTACGTCGAGCCAAGGCAGCACCGGTGCCATTTCGATTGTCTCGGGCAGCGCGACCGGTGGCAGCGGTGGTGCCATCACGGTCCAGGTCGGCGGCGGAACGTTTGGAGAAGGCGGGTCGCTCGTCATGAGCGCCGGTGCGACCACGGACGCTCGAACGGGTGGTTATGTCTCTCTTGCGACTGGCGCGAGCGCGCAAACGTCAAGCGGCGACCTGTCGCTTCGCTCCTCGAACGCCGGTCAAGAAGGTGTGAGTGGCACTGTCTCGGTGCATACGGGAACGTCGAGCGCCGGCACCACGGGTGCCATCGTACTCGCAACGGGCGACGCGAGTGTGGTCGCGGTGGTGACTTCATCGTGACTGTCGGCACGGGCAACAAAGGCAACGGCGGCGAGCTTTCGTTAACGGCCGGCGAGTCGACCGAGGCCAAGTCGTCGGGCGGCAGTGTGACGGTGACAGGTGGTCAAGGCTCGAGCAAGACAAACGTCGGTGGTGGCTCGGGCGGCGACGTGAACGTCTTTGGCGGTGCAGCAAGAGGCATGAACAAGGTTGACACGGGAGGCGACATTCGTCTCGAAGCCGGGTTTGCGGCTTTCGGCACCGGCGGTTCTGTAGACGTCACGTCGGGCTCTAGCCCGTACACGACGAGTGGTAGCATCCAAGTGTCGACGGCCAACGCTGGCTCCGCCGGCATGAGTGGTGCGCTCAGCTTGGCGACGGGTGGGGCCACCCGCGGCAACACGGGCGACATGACATTATCGACAAGCGCCACCAAGCTTGGCGTCGCTGGCTCCATCACGCTGTCAGGCGGTCAGAGCACGTGCGGCATTGGCGGTACGACGCTCTCTTTCGTGTGGATATGGAACGAAATTGTGCACTAGGCCAAATCTCGTTGTCGGCTGGCCCCGCCGTTAGCAAAGCAATTGGCGGCTCCGTTTCGATCCAGTCGGGCGCGGGCGAACATACAGCGAGCGGTAGCGTTGCCATCGGAACAGGAAGCGCCGGCTCGATAGCCAGCAAAGGCGCATCGTCGGGCAGCATCGTCATGCAAACGGGCCCGACGGTGATTGGCGCGTCTGGATCAATTGTGCTCCAAACGGGCGATGCCACGAGTGGCTCGGGCGGCGGCATCTCGATGACGGTGGGATCGGGCGACAAGGGCAACGTCTTTACGCCGGACGAAGGCGTTGGTGGCAGCATCGTCCTGAAGGCGGGCGACACCAAAGGTATATATATCAATGCACGCAGCTTGAATCGTGACTCGTGATTGTGTAGCCAACAAGAAGATCGGTGGCGCCATCGAATTGACCGCCGGCACGGGCGTCAACGTCGACACGTTCTACGGTGGTCGCGGTGGCTCCATCAAGATTGCTGGAGGGGAGTCGAAAGGACGCAGCAAAACCAACAGCGAGGGCGGCGTGGTCCAGCTCCATGGTGGCAAGGCCGACTTCTCGACTGGTGGTGCCGTCGAGCTCCACAGTGGTGTGAGCGCGAGCGCGGCAAGCGGTGATATCAAGCTCAAGACAGCCGATACCACGGGACAGAGCGCGGTCAGTGGAACGGTTGTCATCGAAACGGGCAGCGCCATCACTGGTCCCAAGGCCAAGGCTGGCAACTTTTCCGTGACCACGGGCAAGTCGATGACACCTTCCAACATTACGTTGCGCATTGGTACCAACGATCTCGGTCGTGGCGGCGACATCGTGCTCTCGGCGGGTACGACGCTCGAGTATGGCAAGGCCGGCGGTGACGTGCGTGTGCTCGCTGGTACGGGCGCGAGCAAACGACGCAACGGCGGCGGTCACGGCGGACAGCTTGTGCTGGAAGGCGGAACCTCAATGGGTGGCGACACGAAGGACGTTGGTACGTCGTATTGCACTGCATGGAAGAGTCTCGATCATCGAGTGCGTAGGTGGCTTTGTCGGGATTGCTGGCGGCGTGTCCATGAGCGGCCCCGGCGGCTCCGTGTCCATTGCCTCGGGTACGAGCAAAGAGGGCGGGTCGGGGGCGCTATCGCTGCAGACGGCCAATGCTGGCCGTGTCGGCAGCACAGGCGCCATTACCATGACCACGGGCCAGGCGACGCACGGTCCGTCGGGCGACATTGTGTTGCGGTCTGGCGACGCACCCTCCACTCCGTCACGTCAGCACCCAAACAAGCAAGCGACTGCTGGCAGCATTTCCGTCGAGGTTGGTGCCAGTGGCTCGACAGATGGCGGGGCGATCAAACTTGTTGCCGGGTTTGCGAGCGCGGACGCCCGCACGGGCGGTGGTGTCACGGTGCAATCGGGCGCGTCAAAGTCGTCCAGCGGCGACCTCCTTTTCGAGACGCCTATGGCACCTAGCCGTGGCGTGAGCGGCTCGGTGACTGTTGTGACGGGCAAGGCTGCCAAAGGGTTGTCCGGTGGCATCCAGCTTTCAACGGGCGCGTCAACCGATGGCGTTGCTGGCCAGGTAAACCTGCGTGCTACCATTGATGCAGTGTGATGACGAGTATTCATGTAGGTGCTCTTGAGTGTCGGTGACACAGTGACGCAGGGCGGCGGTAGCTTGGTTGCCTCTGCTGGCGATTCGCTCGCGCGTGATAGCAGCGGCGGCCACCTCGACTTGCGTGCCGGTGCGGGCGTGAACCGCGACACGTCGGCCATTGGAGGCAGTGGCGGCCGTGTTTCGATCGCTGGCGGCCGAGCGCATGGTTTGAGCCCCGACGTGAACAGCGGCGGCGAAGTCGCTCTTCTCGGTGGCGACGCTGATGTCGGCGCCGGCGGTAGTGTCTCTATTGCGAGCGGTGCTGGCGCTGGCAAGCGCAGCGGCAACGTTCAGGTTGCCTCAGCTGTATCTCCTCGCGGTGACTCGGGTACGACGACGCCATTGACCAAAACGTTATCACTTCAAATATGAATCTTATAGGTGTCGTAACCGTCGCGACGGGTGATTCCCAGAAGGGCAACTCCGGCGGCATTCTCGTAGAGACGGGCGCCACTGAGAGCGGTGGAAGCGGAAGTATTCAATTGCGCGCCGGCCACGCCGCGAAAGGACTCGGTGGCAACATTGAGCTCACGGCCGGCTCGGCGTCTGCGTCTGCTGGCGGCACCGTCAAGATCCAGTCGGGGCCATCGTCGGCGGCCAGCAGCGGTGATGTACTGGTCTCGACGCCGCAAGTGACCTCGAAGAAGGCCCAGAGCGGTAGCTTCCGTGTCGTGACGGGCTCGACCGATGGCGGCAACTCTGGCACCGTGTCCATCGGCACCGGCGCCTCTAGTCGCGGGTCTGCTGGTGACGTCGTTGTTGCCGCCGGCGACAGCAGCCGCATCGGTGGCAACGTCCAGATCAACGCCGGCACGGGCTCTGCCCATGGTGGATCCATCTCTCTAAAGGCAGGTGCCGGTCCATCGGACGCGAGCGGCACCGTGTCGATCACAACGACGGGCGTGGGCAAGAGTGGCAGTATCGTCATGACGACGGGTGACTCGACAAACGACGCGTCGTCGGGTCGACTGACCATTGCCTCGGGCACGTCGAGCAACGGCGTGGGTGGCGATGTCACGGTTCGCGTCGGCGAAGGCAGCTCCCACACTGGAGGTACTCTTGAGCTCTCGGCCGGCGCCAACAGCAATATCGGTGGCCGTGTCAAAGTCACTGGTGGTGAAGCACGCTTGTCCACTGGTGGCGCCGTTGACGTGTCGGGCGGTTTTGGTGCTTCCGCTGGCGGTACTGTCACTGTGAGCGGTGGTAAATCAAAGTTCTCGGACGGTGGCTCGGTAGCTGTGACGTCTGGAGCGTCGGGCTCAATGTCCAGTGGCTCCATTTCGATTTCATCGGCTGACTCTAGTTTGAACGGTGCCAGCGGCGCTGTCTCGATCCAAACTGGCTTCTCCGGCTACGGTAACTCGGGCGCCATCGCTCTGTCGACGGGCCTTACGCGAAGCGGACGTGCTGGCTCCATCAGCGCCAGTGTCGGCACAGGACACAAGGGTGACGGCGGTGACATCGCGATGCGTACCGGTAACACAACGGACGGCACTGCTAGCGGTGGCGCCCTCTCGCTTGAAACCGGGTCAAGCAAAGCTGCTTCAAGTGGCGCTCTCTCGCTTCGGACGACGAGCTCGGCCACGTCGGGCGTCATCTCGATCACCACGGGACAAACAACCGACGGCAGCTCGGGCAGCATTGTCGTGGAGACGGGCTACGCGACTCAAGGCGCGGGCGGCGACATTACCGTGGCTGTTGGTTCTGGCTCGATGAGCAATGGCGGCAACGTAGTTGTCTCCAGTGGTGCAACAACACGCGCCGGCGCCACTGGCGGCAATGTGACTCTGAGCGCTGGCTCGGGCGACGCGATCGATGGTGGCAGTGGCGGCGCCATTCGTGTTTCGGGCGGCTCGAGCCGCGGTCTCGATGCGTCGACCAACGTTGGCGGCAGCGTCGTTGTCTCGGGCGGGAGCGCTTCCGCGTCAACGGGTGGCACCGTTTCCATTGTGAGCGGGAAGAGCGACCGCTCTGCGAGTGGTGCAGTTGCGCTGTCGTCATCCGATGCGGCAAGTGCCAACACAGGGGCCATCAAGATCGCGACGGGTACCACGACGCAGGGCAAGTCCGGCTCTGTTGTTGTCCAGACGGGTGCAAGTGATGACGGTGTTGCCGGCGACATTGTTCTTGCGGCGGGAAGCAGCTCGAGTGCCACTGGCGGTGCGCTTCGTCTCGCGGGCGGCCCGAGCATGGCATCCACTGGCGGTGCTGTAACCGTCGAAGGCGGGGCGTCCAAAAAGGCAACCAGCGGCGGCATCTCGCTCGGATCGGCAGGCTCCAAGAGCAGCGGCAACAGCGTCTTGTACACGGGCCAAGCATCCACGGGCAAGGCCGGCGACATTGTCGTAGCGTCGGGCAGCGCGTCCGCTGGCACTGCGGGGTCCATCGTAACAAGTGCGGGTCTTTCTCATGTCGGCAGCGGGGCGGACGTGAACGTGACAGCCGGTGCCTCCACCGTCGATGATGGCGGTCGCATTACTTTGGTGTCTGGTGCCTCCCAAACCTCGTCCAGTGGGGTCATTGCGCTGTCCAGTGCCCCCTCGAAAACAAGTGGCGACGTCGCCCTTGAAACGGGCTTGGCGACAGAGGGCGCGTCAGGTGCCCTTCGTTTGACGACCGGTCGGGCAACTGTCGGTGCCGCCGGTGATATCTTGGTCTCTGTGGGGTCAAGCACCGGCACAAACGGAGGTGCACTACGCCTCACATCGGGAGCGTCGAGCCAAGTCGGCGGCAGCCTGGCCCTTGAGACTGGTGAGAGCACCGCGTCAACGTCCGCGTCTCAAACCGGGTCGATACTCCTTCGCACGGCCGATGGGGTGTCCACGGGCTCGATCAACGTGACCTCGGGTGCAGCGACGTCAGCTTCCGGCGCCATTACGCTTTTGTCCGGTCTCTCGACCAGTACTACGGCTGGCAGCGTCTCCATCGGTGTCGGGGCAAGCCATCTCACTGGCGGCGAGCTGGCGCTCACCTCGGGTGTGTCGGTAACCGAAACGGGCGGCCGTATCTCTATCACGTCTGGCGTCGGCAAGGCAACGACAAGTGGAGCTGTGGTATTGCAGTCGGCGGCGGCTGGCAAGTCGGGTGCGTCAGGATCAGTCCACATGCTCTCGGGACCGTCTTCTGCTGGAAACACAGGGTCCGTCGTTATCAGCTCGGGCGCTGCCAAGGCTACAGGTGGCGCTGTAACCCTTTCCGGCGGCGCTGGTCACACTGGCGGTGACGTTGCTGTGGAAGCTGGTGCGTCCGATACTAGCGTCGGTGGCGCGGTTCGGTTGACTACGGGTGCCAGTGGCGCGTCTGGTGTCAGTGGTGCCATCGGGTTTTCAACTGCCGGTGGCAGTGATCACGCTACGGGTGGCGTGAAACTCGCCTCCGGGTCGTCGAAGCTCGGCAGCGCTGGAACTGTGGACGTGAACGCGGGATCTGGTACGGCAGGAGGCAAGATTGCTGTCGTCGCGGGAGCCAGCTCGCAATCAAACGGCGGCTCTCTGATTGTGAGCGCTGGTGCAACGTCCGCTTCTTCATCGTCTGGCGGCAACGTCTTTGTCCAAGCCGGCTCTGCGGCAGCGCCTGGTGCTCTCGGTGGCAATGTGACTGTCATGGGTGGCCACGGCAACGGGTCGGCAGCGGCTGCGTCGGGTACTGTGAGCATCTTTGGCGGTGAGAGCGACAAAAGCGTCGGCGGGGCCATACAGATTCGCTCCGGTGGAAGCCAAGGCGACGTCTCGGGCAGTGTCGCAATTGCAACCAAAGCAAGCTCGAGCACTGGTGACTTGACGCTTGCAACGGGCGCAGCATCGGGGGGCATGGGGGGCAGTTTGCATGTGCAGACTGGCTCTGGCTCGTCGGCTGGCTCCGTGGGTATTACCCTCGGGGCTAGTTCTGCTGCGCCGGTTGGGGCTCAAGTCAGCGTCGTTGCTGGCAGTGCGGCGTCTGGCGGCGCCATCTCGCTCGTATCGGGCTCGAGCACGGCCAATGTCCGCGAATCGTCCACGGGCGGTATTTCCATTGCCTCCAGCTCAACGACGACGATGGGCAACTCTGGGAGCGTTGACCTCTCGACTGGCAACGTTGTGGACGGTCAAGTGGGTACCCTCTCGCTGGCGACTGGCTCGGCGTCCGTTGGCTCGGGCGGCACGGTCAAGGTCTCTGCTGGCAGCGGTGACATGGGCGGATCGATTCGGCTTATCAGTGGCAGCAGCCAGAAGGCGACCAACTCTGGCGGTGATATTGTGCTCACATCGGGCTCGGCCGTGGATACAAGTGGTGCAATCTCGCTGATGTCTCTTAATGGGAGCACCACGGGCGGCTCTGGCGTCGTGTCCATTGCAACGGGTGCCGTGACCGCGGCGCACCAAGCGTCTGGCGAGATCGTGTTGACAACTGGAGCATCGTTGGCCGAAGCTGGTGGCATCGCGCTCCGCGCGGGTGATTCAACGACGAAAGGCGCTGCTGTGACGATCTCGTCGGGCTCGTCCTCCGGTGTCGAAGGCGGCGCCCTTGAGTTGACGTCTGGTTCATCGCCGGTGACAACGGGGCGTGTTGTGGTGTCTTCGGCCACTGCCGACGCCTCGTCTGGATCAATTTCGATGGCATCGGGCGACGCGATCCAAGCCTCAGGAACCGTGCGCCTTGCGTCCGGCCACTCGACGTCGGGTGCTGCCGGTAACGTCGTGGTGTCTGCAGGTGCTGCATTGCGCGAGGCTGGCGACGTTGCCGTGATTGGAGGCTCGTCGGCTAGCGCTCTCGGAGGTAATGTCAACGTCACGTCGGGCACCGGTGCCGCAGGCTCGGGTCGCTTGGCCATCACGACGGCCGGCAGTGCTTTGAGTGGGTCCATCACCCTTGCATCGGGCGATGCAACGAGCGAGTCGTCGGGCTCCGTTGCTATCTCTACGGGATCTTCCAGTGCGGCGCCCGGCACGTTGACGTTATCCGTTGGCAAGACGTCCGGCGACGCCACCTACGACGGCGGGGACATTGTTCTTGCAGCTGGTAATGCCGTGTCTGGCGATGGTGGAGCTATCTCGATCGGTTCTGGTGCGGGGCGAGGGTCGAGCGGCAAGGTCATTCTCTCAACAAGCTCGAGCGACGCGTCTGGCTCGATCGCTATCACTACAGGCGACGCCAGCACGGGAGCATCCGGTACGATCCGCATCAGCTCCAGCGCCGGCAGCTCAAGTGGTCATGTTGCCATTGCCACTGGTGACAGCAGTCGCACGAGTGGTGGAACCGTCTCGTTGAGTGCAGGACGCTCAACGACGGCGACGGGCGGCGCCGTCTCGATTGCGTCTGGCACGGGCGCTTTGTCCACTAGCGGTGACGTCACGATCCATACGCCGGCAGGTATCAGCGGCAGCGGTGCCCTGACTTTGGCCACCGGCATGTCAGAAACCAGAACTGCAGGAAGTATCGCGCTTTCCAGTGGATCGTCGGCGTCTGGCAGCGCCGGCAACATTGCGGTCAATGTCGGCGCCTCTCAAGGCCATGACGCCGGGACCTTTTCGGTCAGTGGCTCAGAATCAACGACTGGTGCTGGCGGCGCCATTGCGCTTACGTCTGGGGCCAGCAAGTTTGGCGAGGGTGGCGCTTTGTCTTTGACCTCTGGCAGTAGTGTGAGCGATGGGACGGGTGGTCTTCTGGCGCTGCAAGGCGGCGATAGTGCGTATGGCGTCGGCGGCGCTGTCAAAGTTACGTCTGGCTCGAGCTCGGACGCCAGTGGTACTATCGCAGTTCAGTCGGCGTCGACAGCTCAAGGCTCTTCTGGCTCGCTGACCGTTGGCTCGGGGCAGGCGGCTCATATTTCGGGAGCTGTTACCGTCGCCTCGGGCATCTCGAGCACGCAGTCGGGCGCCGTGTTGATTCGCTCGGGCGACAGCGAGGGACAGACGGGCGCTATCGACATTGCCGGCGGCGCTAGTCGCTTTGGCACAGGAGCTGCCATTGGCATCACAAGTGGATCGGGCGAGACCAGTGGCGCTGTCCGAGTTATCACGGCCGATGGTTCCAGCTCGGGCGGCTTGACACTTGGCACCGGTAGTGCCGCGTCCGACGCTGCGGGTTCGGTGTCGATTGCTACAGGCAGCAGCTCGGCTGGCGTCTCGGGCTCGATTGTTCTTTCCGTTGGCTCGTCGACGTCACGCGAGGCGGGCAGCATCCGTGTCTCGAGTGGTGCCAGCGACGCAACGGGTGGTCTTGTTGAAATCACTTCGGGTCGCAGTACGTTGACGGTCTCTGGGTCGGTCGTGCTGTCTTCTTCTTCCAGTGCTTCGAGTGGAAACACTGTCATTGCGACGGGTGCCGCTACGACAGCTGCATCTGGTTCCGTTCAGATCCGTTCCGGAGCCGGTGCTGCGGCCGCGGGCGGGATTGCGCTCACCGCAGGAAGCAGTGCGACGGGGCAAGCTGGCAACATCACTATCGCCGCTGGCGAAGGTATCCAAAGTGGCTCCGTGTCGATCCAGTCGGGCGGCAGCCATGCTGGGGTCTCGGGCCGAGTTAGCATCACATCTGTGGTGACAGGCTCGACCGGCTCGATTGACGTCCGGACTGGCTCCGCGACGGCGGGCACCTCTGGAAACCTGGAGATTGGCACTGGCAGTGCTCTTGGTGGCGATGCTGGCAGCGTCGTTATTGCGGCGGGTGCAACAAATACTCGCCAAGGTAGCGACGTGTCGCTATCTGGTGGTGTCTCGGACGCGGGTGTCGGAGGCGCCGTGTACCTCACTAGCGGTGCTGGTGCCGCGGTGTCGGGCAGCGTCCAGCTTCTTACGGCGTCCTCGTCTTCAAGCGGTGCTGTTGTCATTGCAAGCGGTCTTCCCACGGCTGGTCCATCGGGCAGCATCACATTGTCCACGCACGACTCGGCGTCGGGTGCCAGCGGAGACGTTCTCGTGTCGTCGGGCGTTGGTGTCAACGGCGGCCGTGTCTCGATGGTTGCTGGTGCATCGACCGGTGCGACGTCTGGCGGCGCGATTGCGATTACGTCGGGCTCTAGTATCACGGGCGCGAGTGGCACGATTGCAATTGCAACTGCGTCGGGTGCTTCCACGGGTCGTCTGACGCTCTCCACCGGTGCGTCAACGTCGGGTGCGTCCGGCGCGATTGAGCTAGTGAGTGGTGACTCGTACTCGACTGCCGGCTCGGTGTCGATTGCTTCGGGTAGCAGTACCCTGGGCCGAGCAGGCTCGGTGTCGATTGCTGCCGGCATGAGCGGCGAGACCATCGGTGGTGCTATCGCGATGGTGTCCGGCGATGGGCGCGCTGCGTCTGGCGACGTTGAAATCCATTCGCGAGACTCTACGCGAGGCAGTTCTGGCTCAGTCAGCATCTCGACCGGCTCGTCGGCCATAGACCAGTCGGGGTCGCTCTCAATTACCACAGGCAACGCAACGACTGGGTTGGTCGGTCCGGTGACGCTTTCAGCCGGTTTTGCGACGTCGACGTTTGGTGCCACCGTTATTGTCGCGGCGGGTGCTTCGGGATACTCTACCGGCGGTGACTTGGATTTGTCGTCTGGCGCGGGTCCCACGTCTGGCGCAGTGCGCATCGCGTCGGCTACGTCGAGTGCCACGTCCGGTGCCGTTCACGTCACGTCGGCTACGAGCAAGACGAGTGGTGCCGTGTCCGTTACGTCGGGAGCGGCTACGGCAGCATCTGCGGGCTCTGTGATTATTGGCGCCGGCAAGAGCCAAATCGCCGGTGCCACCGTCGAGATCCTCGGCGGAGATAGTGCAACACTCGATGCTGGCTCTGTGTCGCTTGTCGCAGGCTCCACACCTACTGGTGTCGGCGGCGATCTTCGCCTCTCGTCGGGCTTTGGAGTGGCCTCCGGCGCCGTCACCATGGCCAGTGCGACCTCGACGACTGGCGCTAGTGGCACCGTCACGATTACCACGGGCGCTGCTGTCAACAGTGGTGCTCTTGCGATTGGAAGCGGCGACGGTCTGGAGACGGGTGGTGTGACGACCGTGTCAAGCGGTCGTGGCAGCCGTCGTGGTGGCGACATTTCCATCCTTAGCGGCGCTTCGTCCTCGGGGATCGCAGGCTCTATTGCACTTTCGGGTGGCGAGGGCTCCGTCGGCGGCGACGTTAGCGTCACAGCCGGCACCAACGGCCAGCTCGTGCTCCAGAACGTGGCGCAAACGGCGTCGATCATTGTGGACCCGTCGGGTAGCGTCTCGGTGACGTCTGGCGCCGACGCACCGCTGAGTTTGTCCAGCGGCAGCGACACTCGTATGGTCGTTGGTTCGGGCGAGCTCACGGTGACCCACAGCGAGTCGGATATCAAGGGTGACGTCGTCATGCGCGTACGTGCAAACGAAGTCATTACGCATGTGCCGGCGCAGTTTACGTCGATCACGTACCCGGGAGACCGTCGTATCAAGACCGAGATCCAGGACGTTGACCAAGATGACTTGCTCCAGCGCCTTCAAAACATCGAGGTCAAGCAGTACCGGTACAGCAAGCAGTGGCAGTCAATCGGGCACGTCTCCAACGAGGTTGTGCGCGGTGTCATTGCGCAGCAAGTGGCCGAGACCTTTCCCGAGTACGTCAAGGTCGGCTCGTACGCGTTCCCCGAGAAGAACTTTTCGATGCAGTCGTTTCACAACATCAACAAGCAGGCGCTGAGCATCGATCTTCTTGCGGCGATGCAAGCACAGTACAAGCGCATTCGCCTCGGACGCAACGAGCCTCACGCCACGGGACGCATCGACATTACGACGGCCGACGCAGAAGCCAAGGCGACGGGCGACCTTCTCTTGCGCTCCGGTATGTCGGCGACAGCGGCTTCGGGCAACATGCTCGTTCAAACTGGCGACGCCAACTCTGCAGGCTCCATTGTGCTGGCCGTCGGTGACAGCCAATCGCGTGGCGGCTCAATCCAACTGCGCGCCGGTGAGTCGTCTGGAAGTGACGGGGGTGCTCTCTTGTTGGCGACGGGTGCTGGCTTGACGAACTCGGGCGCGCTCGAGCTTGTGTCCGCACGTGCCGACGGTGCAAGTGGCACTATCACACTGGCAAGCGGCGCCGCACCTACGTCGGGCGCCGTCGTGCTTGAGACACGCGACGCTAACCAACCAGGCAACATTATGTTGTCTACTGGGCGCTCGAGTACGGGTACAGGCGGCACGGTCCAAGTGCACGCTGGCTCGGGCAGCACGGGCGGTAGTATCCGCCTCATGTCTGGCCGCGGATCGAGTCCCGGTGAGCTTGCACTCGGCAGCCCAACGGATGCGGATGCAACGGGCTCCGTCACGATTGCAACGGGCGCGACCACAAGTTCAACTGGCAAAGCGGGATCGCTCGCTCTGCGTGCTGGTGCCGCCGCGACGGTTATGCTTGACAAGGACGTTGCCATTGCATCGGGCGGCTCGGCCGCGCAGAGTGGGTCCATTGCTCTCATATCAGGGCGTGGCACGCAGCAGTCGAGTGGCGATGTCCGCATCCAAACGGGCACGGCATCGGAGCACGCTGGATCTATCAACATGGCCACGTCCGACGGCGCGCGCGGCGGTGACGTACGAATCTTGGCAAGTGGCAGTCTCGCTCTGCAAGGTGGTCTGCGAGGCAATGTCTCGATCCGTGCTGGCGGCCAAGATGACAATGAAGCGTCAGCTCGCACTAGAATTGACGTGGAATCCAATGGAAGCTTCCGCGCTGCAAGTAACACCGTGGTGCTTTCCAGTCGGGAAGACCTCGACATTACTGGCGGACCTGTTCGCGTTTCTGGGACGTCAAGTACGACACACGGTGTCGCCATCTCTGCCCACGAGAAGAGAGGGTCAATTCAGCTCTCTGGCGGTCACTCGGGTGTTTCCTCGCACAGTGCTACGATTACGCTCGGCCATCCCAGTGACGAAAAGATGACAGAGTCAATCGTGATTGCAAGCGGTGTCGGCAATGCCATCTCGGGCACGGTCGTTCTCAAGTCGTCTTCTGCCGCGTCGTCGGGTGTCGTGGAGCTCACGACTGGCGAAAGCACTCTCTCCAGTGGTGACGTGCTTTTGTCGACAGGCAACAGCGGCGAGACGGCTGGTCGCATTGTCCTCGCGCCTGGCTCGGGCAAGCCTACGGTATGAGCGTCTCTTCTTCATGTATCGGAAACTTATGCAACATATTAGGGTGCGTCCGTTGCTATCCACGGCGGCAAGGCGACGAAGGAAGGCGGTCGCGTGCAGTTGACGAGCGGTGTGGCGACGGAAGGTGTCGCTGGGGACA